TCAAAGGCAGCATGCACAATTTGCTGAATAAGGGGCTAGCTGTTTATATGATCCCGCTTTACCAGGACGAGATATGAGGCGGGGCGATTTCGTTGTATTGAAATAAGTCATGGTCTACAACTGACAACATTTGGGTTCTGTTAACCAGCATTTGAACTTTCATTTAACCTAGTGATTGAAATACATCAAAATCATCCCACTTTCCATCATGTAAACAGCCCCTAAGATTCCTGTTCAGAATGTAGGAAAAGTGCATTTTGAATACCAAAACACCTTGCACAATGTCGAAGGTTAGCTAAATATTCTAATTCTTCTTAGATTGCCACTGAATACTCGGTACAATATCATATAAACAATAATAATACTTGAATGAATCATTGGACATGTATGGAATTTAATAACAATTTCATATGGCATCTTGAAGGCTATGTTCACAGAGCACCTTAACAATCTGCTGACAAAATTTATTTGTTGACATTTTTGTTTAATATGTCTGCTTCAGATGACACTGTTCATGGCTAGCTTGCCACTGGATACTGTACAATATCATATATATATATATATATATATATATATATATATATATATATATATATATATATATATTAATTGAATAATTCTACAAATTATTTTGTTCTCTGGATTCTAATTTAAATGTTTTGAGCTTTCGACTCGGTACTTCGAGCCTTCATCAGAAAATTTTCGCGCTGTTCTAGTTCTTGAAGCCTTTGAGAACGTCTGATTGGTTGATCACGGATTTCGGCTGATGGATTGTTATTGGTTGCCATGGAGTGCGGGTGATTGCAATCATCGTGAGTTGATATTGAGAAGGAAGTTGCGGGTGGGTTAAAAGTTAGTGAAGGCAAAACAGGACTTTTGTGTGAGTGTTTTAGTTGTAAGTATATTACAGGAATGTCAATACGGCGGTTAAATGTTAGTTTATCTATACTATGCCACGCTTCTTTAAACTCACGGGCATGTTTCGTAGTAGCTTGTCCTAGGCATCTCGTTTGAGACCAGTCAAATTTGTGTCCGTTATCGTCTGCGTGCATGGCTGGGAGTGAATTATGGTCATGTCTGTTAATGGCGTTTTGATGTTCGGTTAATCTGGTCTGAATTTTCTTAGACGTTTGTCCAATGTACTTGTCGGGGCAGTTTTTGCAAGTAAACATGTAAATGGCGTTATGTTTTTCGGTTACGTTTGTTTTGTCTTTATGATTAGTGAACTTGGATCTAAGTTTGCATGTTGGTTTGTGTGCAATGTCGATGTTGAACGGTCTGAGAAGTCTAGCTGTCATTTCCGACGTGGTGTTTATATAAGGAAGTGTGATCCTCTTTCTTGTTTGGTTTGGTTGGTCTGTGTTAGTTTGTTTCCTATGTGATAGTACTTTGTTGACAAAGTCCAAGGAGTAGCCATTTTTGTGAAAAGTAGAGTATAAGTATTTGCGTTCGTCTCGTTTAGATTCCTCCGTGCCGCAATGCGTGTCAATTCTGTTGAAAAGTGTTTTTATGCAACTGATTTTGTGTTGTGTGGGGTGGTTGCTATTGTAATTTAATATTTTATCTGTGTGCGTTTTCTTGCGATATACTTGTGTGTTTAAGATGCCGTTGTCAGTTCTTGTTATTAATACGTCCAAAAAAGCGATTTTATTGTTGTGTTCTTCCTCTTTAGTAAACTTGATGTTTTTAGTGGTGTTGTTGATCGTTTGTAAGATGTCATTCGTTTTGTCTTTTTTAACAGTAGCGAATACATCATCAACATACCTGTCCCATGTTTTGATGTCATTGTTATTTGTCACAGCTTTATTTTCCAGGTCTTGCATCACTGCTTCAGCAAGGAAACTGGAAAGAGGTGACCCCATGAGGTGATCCCATGAGGTGATCCCGCAGACAAAGGACGCATGACTGTTGTCATGGACAAATCAAATTACACTAATAAAGCTAAAGCACTCATTAATGACACTAACACTAATTAGCCACTTGACACCGACCCAAGTAAAACTATAGTGAATCGAATTAACACGAAACTTAAAACCCTCAAGGACCAAGACAAACTAAGCAAACAAATTTATGATCGAGTCAGACCCAACGACGCAACTATTGCTAAATTCTATGGACTTCCAAAAATACATAAAGAGAATAACCCTCTCCGACCAACAGCAGAATGTTTGGAACGTCTGGTACGAAGCGAACTTGCGTAACGCGTGTACTATATTAAGAAATGCGCGTAACTAGGCACTACAGTCGCACGTTGCGTGAAAGAGAATGGCGACAAGATCGTGCTTTTCGGAATTCCTTCAATTATTTTTCTCCGTTTTCCCCGACAAATCTATTAATTTTCCCCGACAGGGGGGCTAGGGCTCCCCGACAGGGGGGCTGTAGCCCCCCCCCACAGCCCCTCCTTGGCGCCACCACTGCTGCTTTATATGCGAATATTTTATGCGGGATATGACAACCATGGAGGACCCTTATATAATTGTTTGTTACTGTTAGAAATTTCAATCGAAATTTGAATTTTGAGTGCCATTCAAATGGCGTAATTTCCCCATTGGTAACATTTCTGTCCGACCGTATACAAACTTGTCCGATGGATCCGATCGATCGATCGGACCATCTGACATTTGCCACTAACATCGTGGCTCACTTTCCCATCGGTAAAATTTCTGTCCGGCCGTAAACAAGCTTGTCCGATCGATCGATCGGACCATCTGACATTTGCCACTTACATCGTTCAAACATGGACACTTAGAGAAAAAAATCATTTCAAAAGTATAACGGTAATAGTCTTTATGTTATGAATTAATATCACGTTATGCTATACTGCTTGTCTACGTATATTTATCCATCGGACAAAATTTTCTCCGACGGTAAACATGTTTGTCCATCGGATCAATCAGTAGCACATATATGATGGATTTCTCCATCGGACTCCGATCGTGGGTATTGGACATCAATCCATTATCTAACATGAACTAAAAAAATAAATAAAACGAACGAAATTTTACTTTAATATCATGTTATGGTTTAATATACAGTTTGTAGTCGATCATATTATTGCATCTGAATTTTTGAACGTCGTATAAACCAGTATTACCTTGACTTATACTAGAGAACTTAGTACTAGAATATAGCTTAGACTTTTACATCAAATAATTAAACATTTTTTCCAACACAGTTTAATCTTGCAGCCTTGTTCATCAGCACATCTTGTTGTCTAAACATAAACATTCATGGAAAACCATGACCAAATATACTAAAAATATACAATACTCAAATATATTTTATACTATTGCTTGTATTGCTTAATCGAAGATCGGTGAAGATCGTATTGATGAAGATCGATGTTTGTATTGGCTTAATCGAAGATCGATGAAGATCGTATTGTTTACATCATTCAAAATATATGACCGCCAAAAGTGGGAAAAACAGGGCTTGAAAAAGGGTCTTATTTCAGCCATGATGTCTTTTAATAAGAATCCACTTCGATTTAAATTAATGAAAGATTCAAATACGTACACATAAAGTAATGAACCTTAGTTACCTTAATTCGTAGGTGTTGGCAGTAGATGCACACAAGATATCCTCATTTGAAGTTTAGTCTCCATGGAAGTCATAAAAAGGCACGACATTATCACCATAGATTCATAGCACACATACCCTTTAGCCAAAGAAATACTTTAGCCATTTGACCATTTAAACCATTCTAACACCAAAAAGATTGCGAAAAATGGCCAGACAAACTGAACAACTCAAAACCGCAGTTTTCTTGAATTCCCACAAAATCGTACTCGCCCCAGTTTTTTCCGCATCACACGTCGATCAGCGCGCGCGCTCTCGTTGCGCCGCCCTATATATAAGCGCCCTGATTTTTCGCTTTAAGGTGGCTCCATACAGCTCCGTAGTATAAATACCTTATTGCGTAAAAATGTCATCATTTCATCTATTAATTTTAAGCATTTCCGAGTATAAATTAAGTATTTGGTAGAAAACATTTGCAAATTTCTTGAACATAATATTGTTTCCATCCATGGTAACAGTAGTCTCACCAAATATGGTATTTTTTGCTATTTTAAGCAGGTTTTTATTCTTTATTTTCCGAATATTGCCGGTGACACCCCATTTTTAACTGCTGTATAGCCTTCACTTATAATGCGGAATCTTTTCCGTCAAAATGAAAAAAAATATGTAGATTAGAATAGCCAGAATGAAACGCCAAGAGAACGCGTGATTGTCGGTCGTTTGGTACAACTTAAAACAGTTTGAACGGGCGCATGATGCTGTTTCACTGAATTTCTTTGCTCGGTTAGTAACACTTTAAATACATTTACCAGTTGTAAGTACAAAAAACTCTGGATATGAATTTATAAATCGCAAAATATTGGAGTAAAAAACTTTTCGCCCGTCGGGCAGATCGGCGGTTTTCACAAGAGTTTGAACGTTGAACATTGCTTTTTGTACCTTAAAATGTCTTCGAAAAAGACTATAGTTATTCAATGTTCAGGGCTAAATCAGGACAAAGTTTGTTCTTTGAGAACATATGAGAAGAAGGAAGACTCAGAAACATCAAAATAAACATAACTTGTCGTTCGGCATATGACTTTCAAACAAGTCGACAACAATAAAAAATAAAATATATTTGCCGACGTTTAATTCTTTGTATAGATCTCAACATCGTCAGAGAATTAACACTATAAAAATACTTAACATCAATAAATAAATATATCGGCGTGGAAACCTACATAGCTCGGCGTGGAAACCCAGCCCGCAATGACGAAGGGCCTTCGCTCGAAACGTCGACTTTCTGCTTATTTTTTAAGGTAGTAATATAACCACTCAGCACAGCATTGTTCACATAGGTACTACCAATGCTGGTACAGACAGTTTTAGTATATTTGTCAATACGCCCTCCAACACGTAAGCTTCCATTCACCAACTGTGGATTAAGATGTGCGATCCATCTAGCTTTCGCGGTAGAACGACCTTTCGACAATGACTCGATTTCAAAAACGATCTTGTTGTGCAGACTTGATCCAATACAGGTCACCTTCCTCCAATTCTTCGACACTTAGAACTTCCGCGTTCCGCTGATCTTTCTTACGCAGGCCATGACAGAACTGCAGGATCCATGCTGTAACGCGAACAAGCTTGAGCCAGTTGGAATAGCCGGCTGGGTCAAGAAGCTTTGGCACAACCACCTTTGCTCCTAACACTTTCTTTTTAATCTCGACCCACTGGGCGGTTGGAGAAGGTGGGCCAGAATTGTCGTCGATGGGCAACGCTGACTTATCGGACTTTAGAATATCTTGGCCGTTTATCCATCGTGATTCTGGCTTGCGGTCGTTAGCGGCAACTCCCCTCGTTGCAATGTTAGCAACATTCAAATCATATCCGTTCTTACGTGATGCTATCGTCCGGGATCACTCTCCGAAATCACTTCGGCTACTCGGTTCGTAACAAATGGTTGGAGATTTCACGGCTCTCCGTGGATCCACCATATCGCCGTGGTTGAATCGGATAAGTATATAACATGAAGCATACCCAGCCCTTCGCAGATGGTTTTTACGAGACGTACGCACAGCTAGCTGACAACCCATCAGCTCTCCTCTGGGAATGGAGATTGTTTTCAATGACATGAGGTGTGTCTTCGCCATGACTAGGTGACATATGACTTCACCGTCCACAAGTACTGCACGCGTATAGGCGACAGCTGCGCAGGCATCTTCTGAAGCGTCACAGAAAACCACAAGCTCTCTCGTCAATGTTTCTGATGACAGACTGTAAATATACCGTAGTACTGCCACCTCGGATTCCCACTTAACCCATTCAGATGCGATGTCGGCTGGTAAGGGTTCATTCCAATCTAGTCCTTTAGACCATGTGCGTTTCAGGGTGATTTGTGCACGTACCGTAAATGGACTCGACCATCCCCGTGGATCATATAGGCCAGCTAATTTGGCTAGAATACAGCGTTTTGTCGACTGGGTGGATGGACTTTCAACATGTGGATAAGTGAGTCCTAGAGTGTCTGATTGTGCATCCAACCAAACTCCCAATGCTCGACCAAGGTGAGTACCCTGCTGTAAGTTTTTATTCGAGATAGTCCGTTCGGTTTCTGGTATCGTTGCCAGCACTTCCGGTGAAGAGGATACCCACTTTCGCATAGGAAAACCACCCTTAGCCATCAGCGATGAGACATCAGCTCTCAAGGAAACTGCCTGCGGCACATCATTGCGGGAACTGTAGAAGTCGTCCACGAAGATATCTCGCCTGACTGCGGCTGCAGCTTCTGGCCATTGATTCTGGTTGTCTTCCGTCGTACGGATAACTGCGAAATTCGCTTCACAGGGTGAGGACTTGTCACCAAGTACCAACCAATTCATTTCATAAACGTCTGGCGGTCTTGTTGAATCCATGTCACGCCACAAGTAACGGTGATACTTGCGGTCCTCCTCCTTGACGAGAACATGGCAAAACATATCTGACATGTCTCCCACAAGTGCGAAGAGCTTTTCACCAAATCGTAACAAAATGCTCGGAAGATCATTGTGAAGACTTGGCCCCTTCTCAAGGCAGTCGTTGAGACAAACACCGTCGTGTTTGGCAGCGGAATCGAAAACAACTCTTGGCAGTGGTCTGTGCGAATTGATTATAGGGTGATGTGGCAGTAGCCATTGCTCTCCGTCCATAGCAAATTCCTCAGGCGACAACTTTCGTGGAAAACCATTCTCCACGTATGCATTAATTGACGACTTTGCATTAACCGTCCGCTAACTTGGAATCTTTCTGCAAACGGCGTTCCACCGATTCCAGACGGCTAAGGGCTGACTTTAAATTGTTAGGCAGTGGCAGTCTGTCAGCTTTCCGTAGCAGTCACAGCTCATAACCCGACTCCACTCGACGACATGTTTCATTCATTATATCAACAGCTCGTTGTACACTACGCGTGTATGATGTGGTTGCCTCGACACGAACACAAAAACTCTCTATCTCCCATAACTTTCGCAACTGTGATTGGCATCTTCCTCACCATCTACCACAAGGACACATAAATACGTGTCATTGGTTTGGTAGTGGTTAGCACTGGACCCGAAATGACCCAACCAAGTGGGGTCAACTCTGCACATGGCTGACCATCAAGGATGTTGCATCAAGCCCTAGTAACACATTCACTGCTGTTTCTCCTACCGACATGACTGGAACATGATCACGCAAATGTTCATATTGTTTCTTTATATCCGTCCAATCGACCGACTGCACAGGTTCGCATATGTTTTTTCATAGTCCACGCATAAACATCAATATCAGTGACCGCTGGTGCAAAGGGAACACGAAATCGCTGAGATTGCGGTGCCCGTGCCATTTTTGGCACCGCATTATATTCTGCCTGTGAGATGGTTAGTTTGTCCGTTTGTCCGTTTGTCCGTTTGTTTGTTTGTTTGTTAGTTTGTTCGCATCAATACGTTTCCTTAATCGCCTACCAAAAATTCCTTGCACGTGCTCGGAATTTATTAATTATTATTAATCGTGTACACTCATGATGATCGACAGTTTGCTCAGCTTTATCTTTGGTTTTATGCGTCAAACAAGGACAAAAATACCACTGTTCGAATCAGCGTGAAAAGTTGTGTTTACGGATGGAAAATTGATTTCAAAATTGACTTCTATTCTAGGTATTTACTATTTGTCGCCTTTGAAAGACAAAAGCCGCTCAAAATAATCCTTCACGTTTTCCGAATTCCTTTTTTCGAGGAATGTTTTCTTTCGAATTACAACTCGAACTCTCACGATTGACTTTTTGCTGCGTCTTATCTCTGGTTTTATGCGCCCAATAAGGACAACAATACCACCGTTCGATTCAGTGTAAGAAATTATACTCACAGATGTCAAATGTATTACTAAACTACAGTATTCTAGCGATTTATGGCCTTTGAAAGACAAGCGAAATTGTATTGTTCACAAATCGCTCAAAATTATTAAACATAATTAAAAGTGCAATACATTTGACCTTGATAACTTTCGTATTGTTGGTTTTCTCTTTTTCGGCCGTATACCAGTGGATTCGTCTCACTTTTCTCTTTATTTTGTTAGTAGTTTGAGCCCAAAATATTATATTTTGAAGCTTTTAATGTGCAGTTTTAATAAGCGAAATTGTATTGTTTACAAATCGCTCAAAATTACTAAACTAATTAAAAATGCAGTCCGTTTGATCCTTGATAACTTCGGAATTGTTGGGTTTTCTCGTTTTCGGCCGTATGCCAGTGGATTCGTCTCACTTTTCTCTTCATTTTGATAGTATTTTGAGCCCAAAATATTTTATTTTGAAGGCTTTAAAACGCAGTTTCGACTCTAACGTACGGACCAACTGGCGGCCGACAGGAGAATGTAGCGTGCTAAATATTAAACTAGGGTACCTGCAAGGTAGGGATTGCTGCGGGCATCAAAAGCAAATAGAACCACAGTAAAGAGTACAAATTATATCAAGCACAGTGATTACTCGCAGCCTATGCTCGCAGCGACTAGTGAGCTGTGAATGGAACTGAAAAGAAGGACAAGAAGCAATATATATTGAAGTAGCAAAGATTGAAGTAGCAAAGACCAGGGTTAAAGGGCAATCAGAGGTGACAGATATTAAACATGTGCGTCTCATTGACATACAGGTAAATTAAGATCAGATTTCATATCAAGTCTGTCAAGTCATATCTGCTAGGTGCATTTACCACATTATATAGACTATATACACAGATTTATCACACTAAGAAACCAAAACTTTATAAAAAATATAGACCTGACAGTGGCCAAAGTCCAAAACAAATGTAAGCGTAACATTAGACGTCACATGAAAAAGCTTTAGAAATTCGATAAAAATTCGATGGTGGGTCCTCGGCTCGCGCGCTCACTTTTCCCTCACTAGAAACAACTTCATGTATTAACCAACAGGAGGAATCTAGGGGCCCCATCCAGCGTATTATTTTATATAAGTTTACTTGTAGGCGAAACGCCAGAATTTTTTTTTGCAGGGCACCGCATTTTAGTACTGTGTCTGGTTTGAGGATGGTTCGCACTCCTCCAACAGTATCGATAGTGAGACTTTGCCTTTGACTTTGAACCCCTAATTGTTTGGCAAATCCAGACCTAATGAGGGTTGTCTCACTACCAGAATCTAAAAGAACAGTTCCCAAGACTAATCCCCCCGAATCCTTAACAGAGGGTACTATGACAATTTTTAGGGCAACTTTACTAGAGCCTGAGGATGAAACTTGTGCTTTGCCACAGTGAACCCCCTTAGGCTCAGAAGCTTCATCGCCAGTAGGCGGCTTGGGCAAGGCATGAAGCGGGTTGTGATGCCCCTGTTTGCATGAATTGACTCCGCACTTAGATGAAACAGTGCATTGGCGGCGCTGATGTCCTAATTGTAAGCGCCCAAAATACACATTTTTTACTTAACTAGTGCCCATCTTTGGTTTGCGTCACCGGCTAGAAACACTGGGCAATCCCCCTCTTTATGTTTCTCAGTACCATCGCATAAAGAACATTTTCCAGCCTGTGCGTTCGCTAGATAGGTTCTCTTATGTGCAAATTTTGGGTTAAACTTTGGGTCTTCTACGGGTGGTGCAGGTGTGTTATATCGATTACGCAATGACTTTACTCTCAATTGCAATTGGGCATACTCTACTAATCCCTTAACATTTTCAGTGACTTGTTTGCGCTCTACTTGCCGCACCCACTCATCTTTCTTACTGGGCGGTAGCTTTCGAAGTAACTGAGTGCAAAAAGGCATGCTACGTAACTCATGTTTATAATCTGACTTATCTAAGGCAAATACTGCTGCTTGTAAGGCGTCAGCAAATCGCTCAAATGCATCGCGATCCTTTTCCTTAATATTACGCCAAATGGAAATGGGGTGCAAATGTGCATCTACAACTTCACGGGGTCTCCATATCTATCACTAAGTAACTTAACTGCTTTCTGGTAGTCACCCGGTTCCGCGGTCAAACAGGCAATGACTTCCCTCACTCTATCGTTGATAGAATTGTTCAAAAGTGCTAGTTTTATCGCATCAGAAAGAAATTTATTATTGTCCACGAGTGAACTGAATATACCCCAGAAATATGGCCATTTTTCTGGACTTCCATCAAACACTGAAGTCTTTACCCCTTTAAGACCACTGCTGTAGAACGACTGTTTCCTGATATAACTGTGGAATTTTTACCAGACGACTGTTCTTCGTTACTTATCGAGCGGTTTTGAGGCTCTGTTCGACTTGATTCTTGCAAATAATCAGCTACTTCCCCAGGGCATCAGTCACATTGAAAAAACCTGGTATGCTAATTTATGTGAGAATAAATTTGTGACGTCAAGAGCAGGGGAAACAAATATTGTCAATATAAAATAGTATGCGTGCGAACACATTCTACGAAGATTTTGACCAAAAAGTGCGGATAAACCCCATTTTTTTTTGTATAACTGCGTATAGACCGGGCTGTGGTGGACTTTACTACCACCTGAAGCCGGAGAAATCGGGATGGGTATTTTCAAGTAGGTACAGACCTGGATGTTTCGAAACGTGATGGTAAACGGGGGGAGTCGGGTGCGTTTAGCCGCAGGGGGGTGAAATGTTGGGATTTCTGCATATAATTAATGAACTGAATTTTATATTTTAATGAACTGAAATTTGTGATTTGTTATTACCACAACCTTCTTTACATATAAATTAGTTTAGAAATAGAGTTTCCATTGCTTGCGGAAGTTATACATGTGTTGCTAAACAAGGTATGAAACATTTTGGATTTATTTGACCAGGGGAAGGGGGGGGGGGGAGTGTGGCGGAGTAACCTGATTTTAATCCTTGCCTGGAAAAAAGACTGGTTAACTCATTTCCCATGTTGAACTATTTCAATATTATATACTTAAATGCTGAATTGCATAAGGCTTCAAAAATTAAATTGAATTAACCGGAAACATCCGGAATCCTGACTTTCTCTTTTCCACGTGCATTGTACATGTTGCATGCTGGAATGTAAAGTCTGTAAAGACTATTAATCAAGCTTGAAATGTTTTGACGAATTCTCAATGTAAGGCGTGTATAGTGCGCTATCTCTTATGCTTGTTTATGATTTTTGAGACAATGTCAGAGCGACTTGGTAAGCTTATTAATTGTTTTGATATTTATATTCAGACTTGGAACTAGCATGTGCAATATAAGCATGGACATTACTGGATATTAATCAATAGACAATACGCTTAAATTCAATTTATTTATATGCAAAGTTTATCTTTTGCCTAGTAATGGTATTCAAATGCAGTTTGAAATTTTAACTGAGATTCATTGTTAAAGGCAATGCTAATTTGGAATTGAAAGAATTCATAAGTGACTCACCTGCAGATATAAAATAATATTGCTTAAAAGTAAAGTCAGTTTTTCTAAAAATTATTAATGTTAGTGAGATAATTTCAATCAATTTTTGCAGATGTGGCAAAGTGTGTGGTTCATTATGATATTGATGACGGAAAATACAGTAACATAAAACAGTTGTCAGAAGTTAACTTGGAACGATTTCAGCAAGCCAAATCTCTACGAGAATCAAAGGGTGGCTCTAACCATCACAAAAAACAGTGCGATTCTGTCCCAGAGCTAAATCAGTTCGATCCGTCGTTACACGGAGTTCATCAAGAACCGTGCTATAAA